AGAATAGAGAAAGAGTACAGGATGGGAAGACGTGGAAGAAAGCTAGGGTATCACAGAGAAACAGAAAAAACCCCAAAGAGTCCGTGAAAGGAAAGTGAACGGGGCATTGGTTTGGTGCCAGAACTCATGGTTTGGCAATTCAAGACTGAGGGCAGCAGCAGACCCCAGAAGAAGCACAAGGAAGCAGAATACAGCAACAAGTGAGGATCCAGGAATGGCAACGAGCACAGGTCATTCCCAGGTAAACACCAAGGAGCTGGCACCGGGTCTGAGCTGCTATCTGAGTCCTGGAGAACCACAGACAGGAAGGGAGAGTGGGCTATGGGGCTGAAATCAGACCACAGACACTGGTAGACTACAGACATTGACTGGAAAGCCAAAGGCCATGAGGCAAAGCCAGATACCAGCTCATCAGCCAGGTAACTGGACTGGGGAATGGGGATTTATCCAGTTTGGGAGTAAACACTTGGTGTTAGTTCGTTCTTATCTGAAACTGAAGCAAGGAAAAGGGTCTGGGCAGCAGCTCAACAGTAATAGCCCCTATTTGTTAGCACCTCTTGTGCTGGGCACTGTGCTAAGTACTTCACATACATTGCTTTATTTACTAGTTTAAATGTCCCTGAGAGGTTGATGTTGAAACCTCTAATCTACAGATTAACACGAAGCCTGGTGAAGTGACTTGCTCAAGATCATAACAGCAATGTAAATGGGATGGAGAAGCGGTTTTTCTGATAGCACTGCTGGCTCAGGGCCAGGCTGAACGTCCCTGGGTGACTTTGATCACCGTGGTGGTTTAAAAGGAATGGGAGAGTGCCCTAACCGGTTTGGCTCAGTGGATAGAGCGTCGGCCTGTGGACTCAAGGGTCCCAGGTTCGATTCCAGTCAAGGGCATGTACTTTGGTTGCAGGCACATCCCCAGTGGGGAGTGTGCAGGAGGCAGCTGATCGATGTTTCTCTCTCATCGATGTTTCTAACTCTCTATCCCTCTCCCTTCCTCTCTATAAAAAATCAATAAAATATATTTTAAAAAATTCCTTAAAAGGAATGGGAGAGAAGGGGAGGAGAGAAGGGGAGGCTGAGACGTGGGGACACAGAACTTCTCAGAGTCTCTCTGAAGTCCTCATGCTCCACACTTCTTTAAGTGAGGTTGGAAAAGGGAGCAGCAGAGGCCTGAAGATAATTTCTGCCCTTCTGTCTCTTGGGACCTTTGAGGGTTCGTGGGGAATTACCCCCCACACTGGAAGGCCGGCACTAGGGTCATCCCACCCTGCTCTAAGTCCTGAATCCACTTCTCCTAAATGGAAAAAATGCATCCCGAGCCAGGGGTCAGGTGTTCAGGGATAGATGCATCTGTGGCTGAGGGAACCCCACGAAGAGCCTGCTTGCCCCATAAATCCCAATCGCCATCCTGTTTCCATCAGAAGCAGGACAGCTGCTTCCCTTTCTCCCTGGCGATCCCTACCTTCCACCTGTACTCCATACACATAAAACATACATTCACACAGCAACACACCAGATAAGAGGGCCACCGCCGGGTGACCGTCCCCCACGCATCCCATGAATGAGACCACCACCAGTGTCCTCTCCTAGGAAATGGAGTCTCCTGTGAGTTCCCCTCAAACTCTGAGTGGGGCCAGAGCAGCCTAAGTGGGAAAATGAGCAGGTCGTCAAAAGCATTCTGAGGGGGAAGAGCCTGGAGCATCAAATAGCCCACTGCTCACTTTACTGCTGAGACGGGGGCCCAGGGAGGGAGCCGGCTTGCCCAAGGTCAAGGGGCACCTTCCAGTGCTCATTGCTGGTTTTTGTTCCACACCCTTCACAGGCTCCCTGGTGCCTACGAAGGCTGGATGACAGAGAAGAGAGGAGTCTGCAAAAAGAAGTGGGCATTTACCTGGAGACCCCTGGGGCTCTGACCCCTTTGGGGGTCTGTGGAGAGGATGTAGGGAGGAGCATTGGGAACTGTGGCCTCTCCCCAGCCTGGCTGACTGTGTGCATTTGTCTTGAGTCATCTTCTCAGAGGCATGTGGGCACTTTCTGCCTCTCTCCCTTCACCACCTCCTCTCCTGTGGGCCTGGGTCCACAGCCCGAGAATGGTCATCAGCAGTGATCTTTATGGTCATTTCATCCAACTTCCCTCCCAGGGCAAGAGTGCCCTCGCCAGCTCTGCTGCCAGCCAGCCAGTGATGCTGGAGCTGCCAGGGCTGGGCGCTCATCAGCACTCAGGCCAGAGACCACCACAGGCCCAGACCTTCCCTTTATTCCAATGCCCTGAGCTGTTGCAGTCACGGTGCCCAGGCCAGCAGTTACACTCTCTTGACAAACACCAGCAAAATGTCACCATCACAGCCACACTTAACACACACACACACACACACACACACACACACACACACACACAAATACGGTCTTCTGGAAAATCTCAAATCAAATAAAATGAAGTCAGTAATGATGGGCCTGGTGTTGGGCCTCACTGCCTGCATGTCAAGCTACCCTGTCAATCATCACGTGCAATTTCTCAGAGAGCTATTTTGAGAAACATTTAGAAAATGGCTTTACATAGCTATAGTTTATTTATACCCTCCAGAAATGGTTGCTCTGTTTAGCAGCAGATGGTTTTTTTCCCCTGGTTTTCTTTTCATCTCTGAAAGTGAAGCGGGAAGTAAGCCCACTCCCTAACCCCAGGTGCACATTTATCACCCCAGCCCACCTGGGAGTCCTGGCTGTGGGTGGGGGCTGAGGAGAAAAGGCTGGGGTTCTTGTAAGGCACTGTTTCTGAGAACCCATGGGGCAAATGCCACGGGCCAGTGGCTGCTGAGAGAGGCTGGGCCCTGAAGCCCGGAGAGGAGCAGGACCCCTGGGGGTGGAGGATGTGGGGTGGGGAATAGGATGCGGGTGCCCAGGTTTGCTCCCCTGAACACCACACAGGCACCTTGAGGTCCATGAACCATATGCCAAGAGTGTCCCATTGGCATCCAGAGAACAGGAGCCAAAGCCAGACCAGCCACCCTGGCATTCATTGCCCAGGTGCTGTATCTGTGGCCTGCAGGAAGCAGCAAGTCGGCCCTGCACAGTTACCATGGCAACTGCATTACTGAGGCTCTTAAAGGCAAGGGGGTTGCGGGGAGGAGGGGGGTGGAGAAGGCACGTGGTGGCTTCTCTGGGAAAGCCCATCTGTTTCTTTCCCCAGGAAGCCAAGCTGGAGGTGTGGGGAGGGAGGGAAAGGATTGGGCATCTGGGATCTAGAGAAAGAAGGAAGAGGAAAGACTCTAAGGTGCTCCAAGAGCAGCTCTCCTGAGTGGAGGTGCTCCCCTTTCTTTGGGGAAGACAAGTCCCTGTCAAGGACAAAGGTCTGGGCCGGCCTTGGCGGAAGCACCTGTGCCGGAGCCCCGTGCAGCATGCAGGTGGGCCCTGTGAGCCAGGCCCGGGGGAGAGGCGGAGGCGGTGCCTTTCAGCCACAGCAGGATTTTTTCTTGGCAGGGCGGGCAACCTGGATGGTGTCCTCCCTCACTGTGTCTTCTTGCTCCTTGAGGATCCTGGGAAGAGGGAAGGAATAGCATCACTGTGGGTAGCTGCTAGGCCCTTGGGTTACAGACCCTCTGGGTAATACTGAGGGGCCGCAACCTCACCAGAGCATCAGAGAGAGTATTCCAAGTCTCCCCCTGTGGAGTGCAGGCACATGAGTATAATGTGTAAAGCCAGATTTCAGTCAACAGTGAGCCTTCCCACCTCCTCCAGGAAGCCCCCCCTGACCTTCCAGGTGGTGTAGTGCGAGGATAGCACTCTGACCCTTCTGTTCAAACCCCATCGCTCCCTCCGCACTGAAGGAGCTGCTGAAAGCAGAGACTACCGTTTGTCTCTTCATTTCTGCAGCCCATCACAGTACCCGGAACACACAGAGGCTCAGAAAATATATTTCTTAGTTATTAACTCTATGGAAGGGCTGTCCCATGTGGCCACAACTCCAGATTAAATGTGGGAAAGGAAGGATTAAAAACAGTGTTAAGTATCTTATCCCTCTTCATACTGTCAAAGTGCTTTCACCTTCAGCACCTGCTTTGATTCTCACAACAACCTGGGAGTGGGCAGGGAAGGTATGATTGATGTGCCTACGTTAGGGGCAAAGCTCAGAGGCAGAGTGATTTGCTCTGAGAATCAGTGCAGAGAAAAGCCTAAAACTTTCCCCACGGTCTTGCATCACTCTACAACCTCGCCAGTGCATAGAACTTGTTCTGGGCTCTTAATTACTCACGTAATTATGTTTTTAGATGCCCCAGAATGAATGCTAAGCACAAATGAGTACTATTAGATATTTGTTAGCTGGTGCATGGATGGAATGAAATAAATGCCTGAATAGATAAAGGAGTGAATGTTCAAGTATGGAAAATAGGGCCCTGTGTGTTGTGGCGTTTTCTTAATTGTGATGTAGGCAGAGGTTTATGGAAGTGTCTTTCCATGGGACCAGCCCTTGGAATGCCATCACTTGGTTGCCTCTGGTCTCCCATCACAGCCCTTCTCTCCTGGGCTCCCCTCCCCCTCCCCCTCCCTAGGAGTCCTAACCCCTCCTTGATCCCAGCTGGCTGGCAACTAATCCCTGCTAAGACTTGAGCCAGGGTTGTGGGACCTAAGATATGACCTTTCCCATGATCATTTGCATTTAAAAAGAGGACACAGACAACAGTGTGGTGATGGGAGTTGGGAAGGGGGAGGGAGGGGGATGGCTAAAGGGGGTATGCAAATGGGGGACATCTATAATAGTGTTAGCAATAAAACTAAAGAATTCCTGGGGAAAGGCAGCCTTTAAGAGAGAAGATTACAGACCCAGTGACAGGCAGGGAGGCTTCCTTCTTGGCTTTTTTTGTGTTTCAGAGGCTGCCCCTGACCCCTGGAATCACACACAAAGGCCCAGGCCACCAGCCCATTTACCCAGAGGCTCAGGCACACAGAAAACAGACCAGAGGTCTGTGGGAGGTGGGGGATGATGGTGAATGCAGTGAGATTGGGGGTGGGAGGTGGGG